ATTTTTTGGCCACATGCAGGATCAAACTGTGCCCCCTGCAGTGGAAGCATGGGTTCTTAACCACTGGACCACCACGAAAATCCCTATTTTTTAAAGTTAAGTGTTGATAGATGAGATGATGTTAGGTGTTATTAGAAAGCAAGGCAGGAAAGGGCTTTGGGGAGGGCAGGAAAAGGGAGGGATTAGAATTTGTAAATAGATGGTCAGGGAAGGCCTCGCTAAGAAGGTGGCATTTAAACAAAGACTTGAAGGAGGTGTATCTCTAGATGAGTCTTCAGGTGGCCCACTCCACTCCCTCACCCTCCCTGTTTTAAGGTCCAGGCCTTGTCCCCAACCTCCCTGGATTAGAGAGTTCCCTGAAAGTCCTCAGATTTGTCCAGAATAGGACTTCGGTTTCATTCTTCCTTTTCTCATCTAATAATAATGGAAGCTGCCATTTATTAAGCATGGGCATCATACTGTTGGCATGTTACACATTGGGTCATCTAAGCCTCATCGTAAGACTGAAAGTCACAGATGGGGAAATGAGGTAGTCTAGCCCACTTTCCATTGGCCCTTTGGCCAGCTGCTTTCCCTTACAGGCTTCCTGCCCCATCCTCACTCCAAAGGAAGTGGAAGATAGACCTAAAGTTTTGAAGAACTGAAAAAAGGAACAAAGCATGTATTTGATGTCTCCATTGGGCACAAGGACCGAAGGGTCCTTAGAAGGCAGTATTTGTTAAAATGTGAAAATATCCTAACACTCAGAGCTCAGATCCCTTGGAGGCAATGAGCTCCTAGTCACTAGAGGTGTGCAAGAGAAGCTGATCAATCTGTTGTCAAAAATTAAGCCTGGCCCATTCCCCAGCCACCAGTTTCACACACCCCAAGGGCTGGGGGCATGTGCGTGACTCTCTCTGCCCAGTGAAGGGTGTGCCTCCCACAGCTAAGAGCCTCGGAGCCACTGCCCTCATTTTCTCTTGTTGTCTTGAATGTAGTCCAAGGGAGGTACCCTGCAACCAGCATGCTGAGTGCCAGGAAAGACCAGGAGATGGAATTGGAGGCACCATGTGCTATTTATGAAGGAGATGAAAAGTTTCCAGGAATTAAGTTCAGTTTCATTTCAGTACAGGATAGTAGAAAATGGTGATTCCAAAGCCTTTTTCACAGAGGTTTATTGGACAAAACAAATCCTCAAACACCTCCAGTCATGTCTATGAATGCATCTTTTAATACCATATCATCAGGTATAAAGCAGAATTTATCAGCCAAGTTACAGGAAGCAGTGAGTGTTAATCTCAGGACCACCGTGAACTACATGTTTGAATACACCAACAATAATAAAGAGCAGTTTATGGAGAATCACCTTCCCCATTAATTCTACCACATCCAAAAGCAATAACATCTTGGTTGAAAATCCTAACACAGCCCATCAAGTGAGGAAAAAAGATAAAGAAAAGAACGACTTTCAAAAGCCCAGAGAGAACTACATCCAATCTCTTGGGATAAACTATAATGGAAAAGAATATAAAAAAGAATGTACATATGTGCATAACTAAGTCACTTTGGTATACAGCTGAAATTAGCACAACATTGTAAATCAAGTATACCTCAATTTTAAAAAAAATAGTGAATAAAAAACAGAATTCCAGAAACATAAGTTAGCAGATAAAACAAACCATGAAGGAGAACTTCCTCAAGGATGGAATTGGACTGATATAGGAAGAAAAGTTATGACCAACCTAGACAGCATATGAAAAAGCAGAGACATTACTTTGCCAACAAAGGTCTGTCTAGTCAAAGCTATGGTTTTCCCAGTAGTCATGTATGGATGTGAGAGTTGGACTATAAGGAAAGCTGAGCACAGAAGAAATGATGCTTTTGAACTGTGGTGTTGGAGAAGACTCTTGAGAATCCCTTGGACAGCAAGGAGATCCAACCAGTCCATCCTAAGGGAAATCAGTCCTAAATATTCATTGGAAGGACTGATGCTAAAGCTGAAACTCCAATACTTTGGCCACCTGAAGGAAAGAACTGACTCCTTGGAAAAGACCCTGATGCTGGGAAAGATTGAAGGTGGGAGGAGAAGGGGACGACAGAGGATGAGATGATTGGATGGCATCACCGACTCAATGGACATGACTTTGAGTAAGCTCTGGGAGCTGGTGATGGACAGGGAGGCCAGGCGAGCTGCAGTTCATGGGGTCACAAAGAGCTGAACATGACTGAGTGACTGAACTGAACTTAACTGAGTCAAACAAAACTGGCTCTGCAGATGATGAACGGCACTTGGAATTTGAGACATGGGAAGAGTATCCTTTAAAAAATAAACTGCTTTCAAAATCTTTTATTACTCTTTTCTAGGACTGAAGTGTCTTTTTATAAAACAGATTTTGTTGGTCTATTTCTCACATTAAAAATGTTTTAAGCTGAAAGTCACGTGGCTATCTGGTTGTATTAAATTATTTTCACAAACTTGCCTTAATAAAAGGTAAAAATGTTACTGATTGTATACTTTATGAAGCCATTTGAGCTTTGTAAATGACAGATATAGGGAATAATAATCAGTGTTAACTTATGTGATCTTAGTCTAGTGGATGTAATTTTTTCTAGAGAAATATAAAGCTCTTTTCAAACTCTCATCCCAGTGGAACAGAATAATGAGTGAACAATTAGCCCACAGCATGATGCATATTAATAGGCTCCTCATCTTAATAAAGTCTTTATCACTTCTTTCTCTTAATTACTGAAGCATAAATTGCTTCAGAGAAATTTAAACACTAGTATTTGTACTTTATACATAATATTCTCTTTGTAGTTCCTTTTTCTTTTCAAGGGCAAACTGCTCCTTTTTAATAAATGAGTTTGTTTATATTGATACTTTTCTCTTGGTTTGGGTCACAATGTTCAATTATGAGAACTTTCAATGGAATGTTGAACAGGAGAATATAAAAACAAATCTGCCAAATGCATCGGAAAGTATTTAAATAGAAGTACTGGCTCCTATTTAAAATATTTCTCTTTGCTGCAGATAGATGGGAGTAAAAGATGCCTTAATACCTAATTTTTGCATTGTTAGAGACCATGATGTTAAGAAATTCCTATTTATCTGTTGTGTATTTTTAGTTGTTTGGTAACTGAGGTCTTCTAAATTTTGTAACATAAAACCACATTTCCAGTCTTGCTTCTTTTCAAGTATCCAAATGTATTTCTCAGGGACTTCCCTTGTGGTCCACTGATTAAGAATCCACCTGCCAATGCAGGGGAGGTGGGTCTGATCCCTGGTCTGGGAAGATTCCCACATACCTCAGAGCAACAAAGCCCATGCACCATACCTACAGGGCCCACACAAGGCAACTACTGAAGCCCATGTGCCTAGAGCCCATGCTCTGCAACAAGAGTAGCCACCACAATGAGAAACCCTCACATTGCAACTAGAGAAAGCCTGCGACATCAACAAGACCCAGTGCAGCCAAAACAAACAAACAAATACATTAAAAGTTTTAGAGAACCAGAAGAAAAAAACAAATGTATTTCTTAGTACCTTTGTAATAATAGATACAGAAGTCTCTCAAATGCTGAACTGTAGTATATACTTACTTTTAAAAAAATCATTCATAGGGGAAACTATTGGTGTAGGTTTACCAGGAAGGTTTTAATATGTATGTGTGATTCACAGGGATTCTGTATGTGCTCCCCAGCTAAAAAAACACATAGGATGATTCTAAGGCTGTGATTCCAAAATTTTATTAGGACAAGAAACAGTCCCTGTTTTCAAAGAACTCACAGCCTAGCAGATGAGGTAGACAAATAGTTACTTTTGATAACTGTAATAAATAGTCCTATAGATTAGATGCAAGGCCTTGGCAGGATGTGGGAAGGAAGGCTTACTGAGGCAGGGCTTGTTTCCTCAAGGCTGGTCTCAAGAACCACTTGCATCACAATCTTTCCGGAAGCTTTCTTTAAAAAAAAAAAAAGAAAAACAACTAATTTCTGGGCTCTATTCCAGATCTCCTGAATCAGAAACTCTGAAGTGGAACCCAAAAGTCTACTTCACTTAAAATAAGGGCCGAGGTGATTCTTAAGTAGGCTGAAATCTGAGACTGCCTGCTAAGGGATTTCTCTGAGAGATGATATACAGACTGAGAAAAAGAAGTATCTGGGTCAAAATATGAAACTACAGAAGTATGGTGTTTTGATGAATATTTTGTACAATTTTCTACAACATTCCCTCCATGAGATAGGCCTTTTTTGAATGATAGCACTTCTTAGATAGAATCTGAGGTTCTGTGATTGAGGGTATATGCCTCAGATGTCCTAGGATAGAGTTTTCTTTGCACAGGAGTCAGAGCTGACCTCAGTTTGTTAATAGCTATCCCAAGGCCATAGGCTGGCAAAGAGGTCTCTGATGCGGACTCCCCACAGAGTCCCTGAGAGTCTGCTCCCACCATCCACTCCATGGCCTTGGCCTCCTGGCTCTCATTTCCCAATTGCCCATGGCTGCTTCTTTTCTTTGGAACCTGCAGTGTCTGCAGTAAGGAAGCAATAGCTTGAGTGAGGGTCTAATGGCCAGAAAGCATATGGTGTGTGGGACAGGTAGCAGTGAGATGTGTCTGGACACCAGTTGTCTGCGTATGTGAGGGACTGCTGAGACTTGGAGACACTGGTTAAGGGGAGAGAGTGGCCTAGTGCATTTTGAGTCTGAGCTCCACCAGCGACTTCCTTGGTGAGCCTGGGCTCACCCTTTCCCAAACTGGACCCCTTCCCCAAACTGTATCCTGTCTGGAAAAGAGGGTTTGTGTTAGAATCAGATGATTCTCCAGTGACCATCTGGGTTTAGTATTTTGGATTCTTAGATCTCTGATGCTAACCATCACCCTGTGAAGAATGCATGCAAGAATTGTACCCATTTTACTCCGAGGAAGCCGCGGCTCAGTGAGGAGCAGTGACTTGTCCACCACCACACAATCACGGAGGAGTCAAGTCGGATTCCACCACCACCCGGCTCTCTGCCTCCTCAGACCCGGCAAACTGACGTGAAGCAAGAAAACAGTCTGTCTCTGGTCCAGGAAGCAGGCGCTGCAGGGGACGGAAGGGTCGGAACCCACAGAGCTGTGAGGCCAAGCAGCTGGGCGGAGGTGCCCAAAGCCAGCTTGGGGAGGAGAAGTGGGTGGGTTAGGGGCCGGGCGGGGCCGGGGGTGGGGACGCCCGGGGGAAGGGAAAAGGCAGCCGAGCGCGGGTCGGAGCGCGAAGCAGAGGGGGCGCAGGCAGTGCTCGGCGCGGACTGCGAGCCGAGGGGCTGGCGGAGTGCCTTGGGGCGCAGTGCGGGGCACCCGCGAGCCCAGGGCGTAGAGTCCAACAGACTGCGCTCCTGGGAGCCTTACAGATGGGCAGGTAAGACGCACTCGCCAGGTAGGGAAGGCCTAGCAGACGCCAGGGATAGAAATGAGCGATCCGACCGCCTCCCTGGAGGCCGGCGACCCGACCTTGGGGGCGGCTCGGGTACAGACCCCTCCTCTCTAGGACCCAGCCACAGGGATCCCGGGGCGCACGTGGCGAGGCTGGGCCCCTGGCACGCCTTGCCCGGAAACCTGGGGTTTGGGGTCAGCACTCACAGGCCCGGGGAGGGCGGCACCAAAGCTCCTTCCACATCCACAGATGTGCGAGCGAACACCTGCGGCTCCGCCGCGAGCGCACACGCGCGTCTTCTCGCCCGGCGGGAGCCACTTGCTCTACGGGTGGACTTGCCAGCTCGCCACTTCATTGTGTCTCTCGTCCTAGGTGCCCCAGTCCCGGGAAAAGCCTTGGGGGCCCCCTTAGCCATATTCTACCGCTAGTAACATAGGTCTAGGCTGGGAGTCTGGAGACTTGCCTTCTAGTTTACGGGTCGTGTGAAGCTGTGCCCATCGCCCACCTACCTGCTCTATGCTTTGCGCCTTCTCTTCTTGGGTCACCACCTGTAAGGTGAGCCGCCCGGTCCCGTTGCCCATGTACTCCACTTGGCCTGTGGGGAAGGGGGACTGGACCCGGGAGTCTCTGGTGTAGAAAGTACAGGAGTTTAGACCCTTGTGTGAGGGTTCATGGAGCAGTATCGCCTGATATCCCCTGTTCCCACTTATCAACAGTTTGCCTATGAGGAAATTGAGGTCCAAGAGGAGATGGCTTGCCCAGGGTCACAGACAGAAGTAGAACTCAATTCTCCTCACTCCTAGCTCAGGGCTGACTCCACTTCAGCAAGTTGTTGCTGTTGTTCAGTCACTAAGTCGTGTCCAACTCTTTTGCCACCTCGTGGACTGGAGCCTGCCAGGCTCCTCTGAGTGGGATTTTCCAGGCAAGAATACTGGAGTGAAGAATATCCTTCTCCAGGGGAATCTTCCCTAACCAGGGATTGAACCTGTGTCTCCTGCAGTGCCAGCCAGACTCTTTACCACTGAGTCACCAGGGAAGCCCCTTCAGCTACAAGCGTGCATTGTAGATGTGTTAGCTGCTCCTTATCTTCTGGTATCCAACCAGTTGTTGGCTCTAAGTGGGGGAGAGCCATACTGGAGGCAAGGAAACTGCTTTCAGATTTTCTTGATTCCTTGAGATGATAACAAACAACCTTCTTCATTCCTTTCTCACTCCACACTTGGCAAAACACATTTCTACCTATAAACTGAATAGGTGAATGCTCCAAATTCCTACTAAGAGGGTGGCAAGACAAGAAAGTCCATCTTACTGATGGGGAGAATGAGGTCCAGAGTGAAGAAATGACTTAACCAAGACACACGGCTAGACACACCTACAAAACAGGACAGGTCTCTTGACTTCAATTCCATTGTGTTCTCTATCACCAGCAGGACTACAGAATAGTACCCCTAAATGGAGAGAGATTACAGGGCTGATCAGAAAGGATGAGAAACAAGAAAGTTACTCTTTATTTCTGAAAGAGGTAAGTGTATCTGGGAATCAAGAATAATAAAGAACCTCCTGGCTTCCTCTGAGGGTAAGAGGAGGAAGGGAGGGGAGAGGAGACATAGAGTTGGCTGTTCTTGGTAATACTGGGGGGCAGGGTGGGGGAGGTAGATAGAGAAACAGAAAAGGAAACAAAGTGACCGGCTGCCCAGTAATTCTAATGTTTATATGATATGTTGCAATTTCTTTTTTTGTTTTCTAAATATTTATTTATTTGACTGTACCAGGTCTTAGTTGCAGCAAGTGGGAACTCTTAGTTTTGACATATGGGATCCAGTTCCCCTATCAGGTATCCATCTGGGGCCACCGGCATTGAAAGTATTTAGTCCTAGCCACCGGACCACCAGGGAAGTCCCTGCAATTTCTAAAACGCTTTCCCCCCATGGTCTCTCTCCAAATTGCCACGTGAGGCAAGTTGGGGGGTGGGTAACTATACCCATCTCATAGATGAGATTCAGAGGAAATAAATGCAGTGCTCAAGGTCACACAGCAGAGCAGACAGCCGGGGTTGGAACCATGAAAGGCACACTTGAAAGGCAAGATTAGAGGCTGGGAGACTGGGATTTGGACTGTGTGTGTGCAGCAGGTGGGTGTGTGTAGCCACACCCCGGGTAGGTACACAGGGAAGAGGGTTGCAAAGCCGCTGCTGGTGTTCCAGGCCAATAATGTTTGCCCTTTGGATTGAATAGGGTTCAGGTGCAGGGAAATCTGTGCTTCCAAAGGTGGCTGAGAATGCTTCCTCCCCGACCTCACTTCCCCACCTGACCAAGATGGTGTCTTTTCTTTGAGCTTCCCCTGCCCTTGACCAAAAGGAATCTGTTTCGGCCTGCCCTTGAAGTTGCTTTGTAAGTGCTTTCATGAATGCGTATTTGTGTGTGCAGGAAGGACTAGTCTAATAAGAAGAGATATTTATCCCTCTGTTCTTGAGTGCCTACTATAAAGAAACTATGATGCACAGGTCCCTCCCCTCACCCCTCCCAGCTCACAGTTTAGCATATATATCTCTGTCTGTTTATATTTATATAGATATACACACCCAATGTCAGTACAGTAAGTGCTCTATTAGGATTTTATGCAAAGCCCTTCAGGAACAGACAAGAGGAAGAGACTTAACTGGCTAGGGAGTGGAGAAGAGGATGTCTCAGGAGAGGGTCTACCAAGGTGACATTGGAGCTGGGTCTTGAAGGATGTGTAGGAGTTCGCCAGGCAGATAAAAAGAGGATGGGCGTTTCTGCCTCAGCAAGCAGCATGAGCAAAAGCAAGAGAGGGCAAAATGCAAGGAATGTTTGGAGAATGACCTGTAGCTCAGTATCATGGGGCATGGGCAATGGGGAGAGACGTGGTGAGATGAGGCTGGAGGCAGGGTCATATCTAAAGGAGCTTGAATGATAATCAGCAGAGGTTAAACTGTCTTGTGGTAACAGAACTTATAGTGAAAAGATACGGCAATAACTGTTTTTGGTCCCAGTTCCTAGGCTGTGAGACCTTGAGCAAGTGACTTCCTCTCGGGGGCGGGGGGTTGGGGGAGAGTATATGGTTTTTCCCACTGGTTGAATGAGGGGGTTATACCAGTGACATGATTGTTAAGTTCCCTTCCAGCTCAGATTCTATTTCTTTGTTTCCGTCTAACTATATGTTAAGCTTTCTTTCACACCAGCCCATGGTGGTGACAAGACCACCAGGTGGGCCAGAGGCAAAATTTGCAGTCCCAGGAGTTATCCTTGGATTCCCTACCTGCTTTATGTGACCCCTTTCTCCTGCCTTTCTACCACACTTCCAAGCACTTCAGACATTCTTGAAGGGTAGCTGAAACAGAGCAGTAGGGAAACCAAAAAACCAACAGTGGAGTTTTACTTCTGCCCAGAGAAACCTGAAAGAAAACCTCACTAAGATACCCAGTTTATCCTTCAGGTCACAGCTTTTTGCCTCCACTCCCAAGAAAGAGGTCAGCTTTGGTTAAACCTGTTAATGTGCAGGAAAGAGTAGCACCAGGGTGTGGAGGAAGAGGGTGCACTTGGTTTGTATGGGGGAGCAGAAGTACATCTGGAGCAGAAAGGACCATGGGAGACAAGACTGTAAAGGAAGGTTAAGTGTTAGTCACTCAGTCGTGTCTGACTCTTTGTGACCTCATGGACTGTAGCCCGCCAGGCTCCTCTGTCCATGGAATTCTTCAGGCAAGAATACTGGAGTGGGTAGTTATTCCCTTCTCCAGGGGATCTTTCCGACCCAGGGATCGAACCTTGGTCTCCTCCGTTGCAGACAGATTCTTTACCATCTGGGCCACCAGAGAGGGTTAACTTCTCCCAAAGTCACCAACTTCTGCCTTTATTGGACCCTCAGTTACGACTGGTGAGAGGGACTTCTCTTGTGGTCCAGTGGTTAAGACTCCACGCTTTATTGCAGGGGGTGCAGGTTCTATCCCCAGTAGGGTTACCAAGATCCCACATGCCAGGTGGTATGGCCAAAAAGAAAAGACTCATGAGAGTCTGTAATGCAGGAAAAAGCAGTAGTGGTGGACTTATAGGATATGATGCCCCAGGACACGAGGAGCCTGTGTTTGCTGGGAAATACAACTCAGATGCCAGAAGACATTGCCATTTGTAGTGGAAAGAGCACCTACACAGCACCCCAAAGATGTGGGTTCTCATCCGAGCTCTGCCATTTACCAACCATGTCATTTTGGACAAGTCACTTCCCCTGTCTGACCTTTAGTTTTCTCAGCTACAAAATGGAAGGACTGACTGAGGATCTAGATTCTAAATGGTCTTTAGAATCTCTTTTCAGTCACTGTTCATCTTCCTTCCTGATTATTTCCTGTTTCAATCAAGGACTTTCAGGGCAGAAGCTCTGTCTGAACAGCTTCATAATCAGAGATTATTTTGAAGAGGGAAGCCAAGGAGCTCAGAGAGGGGAACAGAATTCCCCATGTTGCCAATTGCCAATCCCTGCCTTGGGACCCGGAGGCAGGTCATAGAGAACCAAGCTGTCCCTTTAAGAGCTCTCTGCCTCTCCTGAAGCCACAGGATGCCCTTGCATGCAGGCCCTCCCTCCCACTTCAACTTAGCTTCTAAAGACTGGCAACTATGACTCTTTTGTGCCCTCCATCAGAACCACAAATATCCAACCAGTTTGTCCAGAGAGAAGCTGGAAGAAAGTCTGAGGAATGAATGGTTTTGTGAACCTTTACTTTCTTCATTGAACCCCACCTCAGAGCCCACCCTGTCCTCCATGCTTTCCCCCTAACCCCACTTTCTAACACAGAGTCTGTCTTTCCCAGGCTAGATCTCACTGGCAGGTGAGCTATAAAGAGGAAAAATGAACAAGTCAACAGATTTGGCCTTCAGTTTATCTGGGCTGGAATATTAAATGTAACAGTCCTGGGACTCTGAAGAATCTTAATCTTGGAGGAAGAAGTCTGCAGTCTTCTCTATCTTGTCATCTGCGGGACTCTAGAGAACCCCCTAAATCCTCTCCCACCAGCCTACCCAGTCCCCCAAATCTCACAGTGTGGTTTTATGGTATCTTCATGGGATGTTAGAGCTGACTGAGACCTTACAGGATCACACAGTAAAATCCCTTCATTTTACAGATACACACAGGACCTGGGGCCCAGAAAAGGGAAGTCACATACCCAAAGTCACACAGGTAGCAGCTGAACAAAGACAGCTCTTTGATTTTCATTTCTTTCACTGTAAAATGAAGGAGGTTAGACTAGATGGACTCTGAAGGCCCTGCCAGCCTCTGCTCTGCACAAATAAAACCACCACCACATCTGTGGAGTGTCTAGTGCCATGCACTCCCTCATTTTCTCCTTTAATCTTCACAACAAAGCTATCCTACAGTGTTGATGTCATGCCTGTGTTTATATCCAGTCTATCCACTT